TTGTTTGGCGGGTCCGGGCTGGGGATTCAAACCCACCACCTTAGGTGTACGTGGCTGGCGCCTTAGCCGGTTGAGCTATAGGCGCTGAGCCCATGTTCCTATTCTTACACAATCTAAGGACATAATATTCTCGCCCAGGGGTGAATTATGGCTGGTATACACCAGTTTTCTTTCTTTTTCTCTCTTTTTTACATCTACTGACTTTAAAATCCACATGCCTACTTTCTCATTCAACAAGCATACTATTGGTTTTTGGATAGGACAATTTTTTTTCCTGAGCATTTTAGGACACTTAACATTCCTAGACCAACCCACTGACTACCAGTAGTAACTGTCTATTCATGTGACAACCAAAAGTCCCCCCGCCCCTCCCCCAAGTATTTCCAATACTCCCCATGATAAGAACCCCTGGTTTTGCCAAGTATGGCCATCACAGTCTTCACTAAATAGCCCTGCTCAGTCTTCTTGCAGGCAGAGTTGACCAGTTAAGTAGTTCTGGCTTCTGAGAAAGATTTTCCTCCTTGGTAAGAGAGAGAGGTAGGTGAGGAGATAGTGCTTTCCCCCTCCCTTCCTTCTTGTCTCCTAAAAAGCTAGAAGAGGCTATGGTGCTTACACCTATAGAAATACCATCTTGTGGCTTATGCCTGTTATCCTGTTATTCTGGGAGGCCGAGGCAGGAGGACTGCCTGACTTTAAGACCAGCCTGAGCAAGAACAAGACCCAGTCTCTACCAAAAATAGAAAAAATTAGCCAGGGAGTGGCTACTCAGGAGACTGGGGGCAGAAGATCTCTTAAGCCCAGGATTGTGAGGTTACAGTGAGCTATGATAACACCACTGCACTCTCGCCAGGGTGACAGAATGAGATTCTCTCTCAAAAAATAAAAAAACCAAAAAAAAAAACAAAACGCCCTTGTGACTATGAGGCAACAAGTTGGAAAACCAAAGTAGGCTGCCAAAATGCAGAAACAAGAATGGAAAGTCCCTAGTTTCTGGATGACGTTAAGCTTCCTGCTTTACCCAGGGACTGCTGGTTGTTGGGCTGTTTATTAAGTAAAACAGAAATGTCCTTATATTTAAAACCAGTATCCACCAGGATTCCTGTTACCTACAGTTAGGTGCTTTCTAACTTACACAGAGAGGAAGGGCATTTATTTACATGATAAGCAAGTAAAACAAAATGGAAAGGTGCCAACAAAGCTAGGTTTTCCTGTGACTTTTTGCTGTATCATTGTTTTTACATTATATCAGCATGTTCATAGCCCTCATTGTTTGACAGTATGACAAAGTAAAAATTTAAAACCATATTGACTTATAAAACTTTTGTAAGACAAAGACCTAGGGACATTAAAGATATAAGAATCTTATTTTCAGAACTCTTCAAAATACTATTCTATTTACCTCTTGCTAATTATGGTCATTAACCTTATGTCTGCAGCAGTGTAAGATACTGTCTGGTAGAACACTCAGACACTCAGTGAAATTTCATTTTTTTAGAAAAGCTCTCAGGCTAGGAGCAGTGGCTCATGTCTATAATCCTAGCACTCTGGGAGGTTGAGACTGGTGGATTGTTTGAGCTTAGGTATTCAAGACCAGCCTGAGCAAGAATAAGATCCCATCTCTACTAAAAATAGGAAAACTAGCCAGGCATGGTGGTGCATACCTATAGTCCCAGCTACTTGGGAGGGCTAAGGCCAGAAGATCACTCAAGCCCAAGAATTGAGGTTGCTGTGAGTACCACAGCACTCTTCCCAGGTGACAGAGTGAGACTGTCTCAAAAAAAAAAAAAAAGATCTCAGTCACCCAACTGGAGTAAGGGTCCAATCATAGCTCACAACAGCCTTAAACTCCTGATTTCAAGCCTCCCTCTCACCTCAGCCTCCCAAATAGTTAGGTCTACAGGTATACACCATCACACATGATAAATTTTTTAAAAGTATTTATTTATTTTTTTTAAGAGATAGAGTCTCATTTTGTTGCCCTCGGTAGAGTGCCTTGGTGTCACAGCTTACAGTAACCTCCAGCTCTTGGACTTAGGCAGTTCTCTTGCCTCAGTCTCCCAAGTAGCTGGGACTGCACGCGCCCACCACAATGCCTGGCTATTTCTTTTTTTTTTTTGCAGTTTGGCCAGGGCCGGGTTCAAACCTGCCACCCTCTGTATATGGGGACGGCGCCCTACTCACTGAGCCAAAGGTGCTGCCCAGTTTTTAAAGTATTTTTTATAGAGATGGGGTCTTTCTATGTTGCCCAGGCTAGCCTCAAACTCCTGAACTCAAGCAGCCCTCCCACCTCAGCCTGCCAGAATGCCAGGATTATAGCCATTAGCCACTATGCCCAGCTTCTTCTAATTTTTAAAAATGGTGGTTCTCTGTTCCCCACAAATTAAAAACTCAAATAGCTCAGGAGACCGTCCATTCAAAAAACTACGTGCCTATTTACAAATTTGTACTTCTTCTTCTTCTTTTTTTTTTTTTTTTTTTGAGACAGAGTATCACTCGGTTGCCCTCGGTAGAGTGTTTTGGCATCATAGCTCACAGCAACCTTGGAATTGAGCAATTCTCTTGCCTCAGCCTCCCAAGTTGCTGGGACTACAGGTGCCTGCCACAATGCCTGGCTATTTTTAGAGACAGAATCTCGCTCTGGTTCAGGCTGGTCTTGAACCCCTAAGCTCAGACGATCTGCCAGCCTTGGCCTCCCAGGGTGCTGGGATTATAGGCATGAGCCACTGTGCCCAGCCCAGATTTGTACTTCTGCTAGAGGAGAATACTGGGCTTACAAGGTCGTTCTACTTTTGACTATATTATCTGCCTGCCAGACTTAATTTTGTTGTTCTTTCCTGCTCTTATTTGTTTATGTGTTTATCTAGTTAATGTGCGAGGTCTCCCATTAGCTTTTACTAACCTCGTAAATATTTTCCCCTGTCCCACTTATCCATGTTCCAGGGCCACTTGCCTGTCCAGGCTCTTCTCATGGACTAACATAATCACCTCCTGACTGGTCATCTGCTACTCGTCTTTGCTTCCCATCAAAACCATCTTCCACACAGCAAGGCCTTTCTAAACCCAATTCTGCAAGATTTCTACTTCTGGGAAGATGGAGTAGACATACTTTTCCATATTCCTCTCACTGAGTATAATTAATAAACCTGGACATTATTTATAAAACAGTCACAAGAAGACTGAAAGGTGGAGAGAAGGAGACACACTGGCTAAGGACCTCAGGACCTGAGCACTGACACAGGAATGAATTTTCTGGGTTTTCCTTTTGCCTCTTTTCTCTCAGAAGCCAGCAGTCTGGAAACACCAACAAGCACAGATAAAAAATGCCCCCCCATGAAAGCCTGCTCCCTGTAATCAAAGAACCAGGAAAGGAAGCAGCCTATCAAGACAAAATCTTAGACAATAACAGCTCTAAATAAGCCAGACACCAGAGAATAATCTGTGGCCCAGTCCCATCTACTCCATCAGAAGCTTCTGATGAAAACACTGAACTGTGATGTGGTTAACCAGGAGAGACACCAGGGTAGGATTATTTCACAGTCTGGGCACATGGTCTTAGAATTGTTTGGCACATCTTGTCAGCAAAGTATGAAACAGGAATTACTTTCTTGTACTCTGGAAAAGAGCACCACCTAGTGATAAAACAAAAGCAAAACCTCTAAATGCTGTGCCTCTGCCCCTGAGGGTCAAAGTCAAGTCCATGTGGGTTCTTAGAAGGGTCATTACCCAGGCTCTGCTTGGGGCGGTGGTTGGGGGTGTACAATCAGGAGAAGGGACTGATGAAGCCCAGATGGAATGTGCCTGTCTATTCCAGGTCAGAGCCAGGCTCTTTCCTGTAGGAGGGAAAAGTCATTATGAGACATGTTATCTAATGTGGGACTCAGCAAAATCCAAAATTGCTGGGTCTCTGGAGAGTGAAAAGAATAAGGGATGAGGGAGAGGCAGAGAGAGAGATGAGAAGTGATGCTTCTTTGGTCCTCACAACCAGACATCTAGGGAAGTGAGGGCTTTGATTAGTCTCGTGTGGCAGATGGGACAGCAGAGGCACAGATAGGTTAGATGGCAGCACAGGTTAAGAGATAAAGCCTCAGCTCAGATGAAGCTGATTTGCAGAGTCTACTCTCAAAAAAACAGGCTTTCCATTGGAACATATACAAAGGCAGAAACCTTTAGCAACATAATGGTACAACTACGGAGACTGTGACTTAATGTGTATTTAATCTCATCAGACTGTTACGATAAAAGTAAGTATCCCTACTTGGAATATCTTTATTTTTTACCTATAGACCCTTGAACTGACTATTAAGTTTCCTTTTCAGTAGGAGAAACCTTAAACATTGGGAAAGGGAATTTTGTTCTTGTTCCCTAGGAAATAAGAGAGAAAAGAAGACATTTAATAAACCAAACAAGCCAGTGAACTTGAGGACTGGTGCTGCCCCTGACAGAGGAACAGCCACATGGCAGAAGGGCATCTCTGGAGAGCAGGCTAGCCAAAGGAGGCTGTGAAGTGATCAGGGCCACAGTCTTCCTCCCAAGCACACTATACTACAGTGTGAGGCAAATGTTCCCAGAGGTGCAGTCTCTGCACGGCTCAGCAGTGAGGGTGCACAGGAGGGGGACTGTATGTGGCACCAGCTGGTTATATTCCCATAGGACAGCAGGACCCCAGGTGGAAGCCTAGGAGACAGAGATGAGAATCAAGCTCCCAGAAGAGGGGACTACAAGGACTAATAGGTGTTTGAGGGCCTCAAACATTGAACAGAAGAAATGAACATATTATACAGGATAAATGCCAGCAGATAAATATGCGTGTTCATAGGAATCTTACTAGAAAGCATAGAAAAGATAATATACATTCATTACAAATTTAAGGATAAACCATGGCCTGGCTTTGACCTAGGTATTTTTCCAAAATCCATTAAGATTCAAGGCTTTAGCCTTGGCTTTTTGAAAGCCAGAGTCAAGTTCTCACTTTAATGTCATTTGGGCCATCGCTGACCTTGTGCTGAATGAATGATTATATACTAGCATGAGTCACCATCATATTCAACCAGAGAACAGTGTAATGCACATGAGCAAGGCATCCCATTCAGATTATTATTTTTTTATTTTTTTTTTTTTGAGACAGAGCCTCAAGCTGTCCCCCTGGGTAGAGTGCCATGGCATCACGCTCACAGCAACCTCCAACTCCTGGGCTCAAGCGAGTC